TACTATGGCTTAGTACAAATTAATTACTTTGTAATTTAAAAAAAAAAAATCTGTTTTCACCTCAAAGAAAAAAAAAATTATGATTTGCATATGTTTCTTTCCCCAAAGCACACTCTCCTCTATAAATTCAAATCCTAGACTTAGAATTGGTAACATATTGTTCATGTATGTCAGCCAAAAGTGTTTAAAAAGTACACAGAATACTTAGAAAAACAAAAGGTCAGTTCCGTAAAGGAATAACCAAATTCCTTTTTAGGTGATTAAATACCACTGAGGTCAGAGGCTTGGGCATCGAAGTATCTTTGTAGATCTGAGTTATAGATCGATTTAGGCTAGCTGTGTTGTTAGACTTGACTGTGCACAGAACTGTCTGCAAGATGTAGTCATTAAATTTTAGAAGAAAACAACATGTCATGGCTTACACCGAAGTCTTCATTTATGACTAATTCAGAAAAAGCTTTGCAATGCCTTTTTTTTTTTTTTTTAACTTCTTCTTTGTAGGACATTAAGGATTAATTCACGGGCAGGCTTAGGGAACAGGGCACATTAAGCCAAGAGATTTGACTGTTGGCAGTGACAGCTGTGTCGGAAACTAGTAGTACTGCTTGCTAGCCAGTTTGAAGATCTGGGTGAACCACATTAAAGGAAAGGTTAAAGAACATCATGTTTTTCAGCATAAGAAAATATCTACTCCAATTACTGCATTCTTGTGTAACCCTCCTTGCAGAAAACTTGTAGGCAGTTGTATCGAGCTGTTTAAAGCCTTGGGGACATCTTAGCTTCAAGTGAATCATGGTTTAGGAAAAACATTGTGAAAAGAACAACTAGGTAAAACAAGGGTGACAGAAGACATGCTTCACTGCTATGCCTTCCTTACTCAGAGGCAGAGGCCTCACCTATCAAATAGGACATAGTACTTGTAACATAGAGAATGTAATGTGAATTTCGTATTTTACAGAAGACATAAGATGCTGACTCTCCCCCATAATGTGTATAATCTAAAGTCTTAATTAAGCCTCCTCACTTTTAGAAGTGGATTAGATTTGAACTTGAAACCACCTAACACTGGCCTTTCATATGACAAATCCTTTGACTTCGCCTCTTCCCACCCCACTCCCCCAACTTTCTTGCAAAATTTCAGTGCCTGTAAGGTGATAACACCCTCCCTTTACCTGGGAAAACAGTGCAGTGCAGTAGTCTGAGTAAAATCAGTCTTCACTGATGGACTCTAATTCTAAAGGAATCATAAAACACTGTAATGGCAATACTGGCTCAGTGATGAAATTCACAGCATCAGCACCTATGAGAAATGGCTCGAGACCTCCAAATTTATCTGGCATTTACTGAGAAAAGCCACTCTTAATTACTATTAATTCATGTTGCAGTTGAGACAGTGATCTAAAGATTTAAGGAACATAGAAATTACGCTTTGCTTTGCTGCCACAATGTTTTGGCATTTGAAATGCTGACTGTCTTGATTTAAATGTCATCTGCAATGTGGGTCAAGTGTGAACAAAAGATGCATCTACAAACCGCTTTATTACTTGCATGCCTCTACTCCTGATATTGCCCATTGGCAGAAGATGAAAAGCTGAACTCCCAAAGGTATTTGTCTGGAAGAGAAGATTAATGCCCACTCTTATTCTTCTTGTTCCTTAAGTTCATTCAAAAATTGTAACAATTTGATCCAAATTGATCAGTGAAGCAGAGAACAAACGCCATCAACTTCAAGAGAGGCTATACAGCAAAGATCTACTTTGAGACTCTAGGGAAAGGGAGCATTTTACTAGTCCTCTCCTAGTGCATTGCCTAACAAAATTTTGTGTGCTTTTCTTCTCAAGATAAGCTTCTGGATACTAGGAAGAGTGGCCCAACCTTCATACCGGCCGAGAAAGAGAAGCTGCAAGAGCTCTGAACACAAACTGTCCACACATCCAAAAGCTGAAATGCAGTAACTACCAAAATATTTCATGGAAATGAAATGTGCTGTGGGCTGCTTGAATCCTCCTATGTTTTGTAAAAGATATCACAAGGACTGTACCTTCAACAACACACTGTAATATCTGATGCTAGCTGCAAATCTGAAATGAAAACCTATTAACTACTTGTTACATCTGCGCAAACCCACTGACTTCAACTTCTTTCATTTTTCTGACTTCTCTGAAGCTGGCTGGATAGCACTACAAGCAGAATCTGGTTTATTTTCTTTAAATACTTAAACTCATTTCCATTCTGGCCTTCAAAGCTCCCCAAGGTACAATTCGATTTGTTTAAAAAAAAAAAAAGAAAAAGGAGCATCAGCTTTTTTCTTTTTGCTTATTCGTGTTTCCCACTTTGCAGTAATTCAGCATAGTAAACAAACAGCCTGTCTCATATGCTGGTTTGAGTTGCAATTTTGGCAGTTTTGTAAACTAAAGTTTTACACTCCCACCGTAGTTAGGATAACTTCATTCCCTAATGGATACTTAACACATCCAATTACTGTATTTTTGAGCTGCAAGCGCTGTTGAAAAATGTCTCCATTCTTTCATTCCAGGAGCTTTCCAGCTGCAACATTTTCTACTGAATAAAACATTTTCAGTGACTTTGCCCATAAATAATACAGCACAAAGACCAATGTAGTCCCAACTGCACATAATAAGCTCAGAATTCCACTGAGGGTTTTCTAGTGACATCATAATAAACTGCAAGAAAAAGTTGAAGATGTATTAAAGTATAGTTTGTGTATATTTTATTCTGTTTTACACATAAGAAAACTCAGACATTTGTCACAGTAATTTGAACATTTTTGTGGACTACTTCAAAACTAGAAGGGACATAACTTGAAAGCAGGATGAAGAGGCATATTTCATATTTGTAAGGACAAACTGAATGACTGAATATATCTTTGATATTTATTTTGTATGCACTAATTCTCATGTTGTTTCTTCATGGTCCTTAGTCAAATGTAAAGCTTTTTAAACTTAACCCCCCCCCGCTCCAAAAACCAACCTCTCTCAAAACCTCAAGATCAATGTTGACAAACATTGATGCAGAATATAATTTTACTCTGTTATAAATTGTGAAGGGATTATAATTTGGACTATAGGGTCAAACAGTTGGATTGTGTCAAAATACCCCTGCAGCACTCCATGATCCCAAAGTCTGTTATTCAGACCTCAACAGAAAATTATAACTGTATTTAGCTGGTAATACTGCTGTACCAGGGGAATGATTTGCTCGTGGGATTTAAGTCTGTTTACATGTCTCTGTCTTGGAGTGCTTAGCCCTCCAACAGGTGCAAGCGTTGTGGCCAGAAAGGAAGGATAACAACCATAGACACTTAATTTTGAATTGGGAATGAATAAGGACTGGTAATGCCTGGGCAATTTGGGCCATGGGACACCAACTTATCCCCCTGCCCCACCTCAGCCAAGGAGCAGGGAAAAAGAGAAAGGGTTTTTGAAGTGCAAGAGGATGCTCCTAATGGGGAGGGACAGGCAATAACCATGCACCCGCAGTAAGGGGCTGGTTCTGCTCTTGGGTCTGAGCTTTGGCTTCCACTTGCAAATAAAATGGCTGCTATTGCAGACATTGACTTGTCTATGTGCTGTTAAAGCCTGGATTGGTTTTAGTACGTAGAAAATTCTCAGAGGAAAAGTGCCTTAGTGAGATCACAGTCATTGGCTGGCATGCAGTGATGCTTGAACCTAAACTATGAATTCACACGAGGCCAAGGCTCCCCCTTCCCTGTCTACACTAGTGGCTCACTGTCTCAGGGGGCATTTCAGAGAGATCTGGAAAGCAGCTGAACTAGAGGCAGCAAGATCTTAGGTGATAATACACAGAAGACAGGGACTTGAATCAACAACTGGAGTACAGAATTTTCGCTAAGGTCAGCATTGAGCCTTACTTGAAGGTCAGGTTCTTACCTTTCTGGAGGGAGAAATAAAGCAGAACATGTCTCTCTTCTTTAAAGTCACTCGATAATTTTTGCAAAGAAGGATTTATGGGAAAGGCTAACTTTGTTACTCTCACATACTTTCATGGACTTGCAGCCTCCAGATTAAAAACATGCTATGGGAAAATGGCCAGCTGCTGCTTGGAGTGCTTGGCTAGCTAATGCTTCACTGTGTTTTCTAGTCTCTGCTTTAACCCAGGAGGAAGGATCTGGGGGTGTGGGAGGTCACTGGAGCAGTGGGGTGAGGATAGCTTAGCATGCAGTTTGCTGAAGGAGAACAAAAGGACAGAGAGAGATGGTAGGAGACCCAGAAATGTTCCTGTGATATGGAGAGATAAGATGATCTGGAAAAAAGGGCTTGAATGACAGAAAAACATTTCACCATAAAAGGAACAGGAGAAGACAAGGACATTCACGCTGAGGAGGCATGAAGCAAAAGAACCAAGAGACAAAAAAAAAAAAAAAAGAGAACAAGGTGATCTGTTAATGTAGGAAGAGAGCACCTGGGAGTGGAAGGAGCAAAGATGACTAATAAGTGAATTTTTATTGTTTGTTGCTATTAACACATCTTTGCCTTGGCAAGAAAAGGTGAATTCAGCTTTAAGCTCCCCATACACTGAAGATGCATTGGACTCCTCCTGATCAAAGTGTCAGAGCACAAGTATTGTGGGATGCATTTGAATGGAAAGCATAGCCTGAAAACACACAGCAATTTCTACTTTCCCATTTCAAATACTGATACACTGGTTATCTCAAACTCAATCGCTTCTTTCAAAATATTTATGTGGGCATACATATGTATGTATATGTGCCACAGAAGAGTATCTGCCAGAGGCCAACAAATCTGATCCTAAAGACAAAGTGTCTCCAAGGAGAATGGTGGTCTGTGGTATGTTGTTATTTTTTTAGATTCCAAACTACATCTCAGGATGATAAAATTTCTTCTTTTTCTCACATTAAGTAAAACATTTATACCCCTCTACATGTGTGTGAGTGTATATATATATATATATACACATTTTCACCCTCCTTTCCCTCAATTCATTCTTTATCAACTTACTGGATGGAGTTCTCAATGCGTGTGATGGTGAGGAAAGCTGCTAGGTTTGCTGTGTAGGAGGAGATGACAATCAGAGCAAAAAGCCACCAAGCTCCCATCATCAGTCGAGTTGCCAGGGTTGTGTATGGAACCTCTCCTCCTGTGGGGAAGAAGGAAAAGCAAGAGTTTTCATTTGGCAGAAGGAAACCCAGATCCTCATTGCTCATGCATTGCTCAAGAGAACTAGGCCCCAAGGCCAACAGGGTAAAACAGTTTACTAAAGCAAGGTGCTTTAGTAAACTGAGCATGACTTGGAGCCACACTTTCTATGCAATGAAAAGTACTGAAGGAAGCCCATACTGTCAGCCATCATTACTGTATTTAATGTCTTTTGTTACTGTGCCTTTAATTGCAATTCATCTGCCAGTCCTGTCCAGTAATGGAAATAGACTTCAAGATCTCAGAACAAAACCAGCAAAATTAAATTCTTACAAGGTTCTTTCCTTAGAGATCTTATCTACAAACCTTAATTAATTTCTGCTTGCCTTCTTGAGAACATAAAGTTAATAAAACCCATAAAAACACAATTACTTTTCACAGTTCTGTAGGCAGGCAGATGTTCGTGAGAACCATATGTATGTGTACAAATTGCTGCAAGTGAACTTGGACGTGCAAAAAAAAAAAAATCACATGTATTGAAGAAAAATGCAAAATTGTTTTGTATTCCCATAGTTGCTTTCCTTTAAAATGCAACTACCATGTAAACAAAACACTAGCAGCAATTAAACCTACCAAGATGAGCTGCGCACCACCGCTTGTGTGAGCAGAGCTCACTTTAGCAAGCTGTGAAAAGTATTATTTTTTTATTCAAATAGCTGCCCCCAAAACACACTAATTTTGAGTCTTTGAAAGAGCTCTTTCAGTTTAAAACATATGAATCACAGATTTTTAGATGAAGGAAAATTCATTGTTTTAAAAATAACCATTTTGTCTGCAGTATAAATTTTGTCACAGCTATAAGTAACTAGGGGGGACAGGCGAACGCAGCAAATATCCATAGTCAACTGCTCAAGATGTTCACCCTTTTCCTCTCTCCTTATACCCAGCAATTTGAAAAGTTGTCATTATTTTTGAGGTAGCATTCTCTGACGCAAAATCTTACAATGGTACAATACCTGGGATTTGCAAAAGCTGTTTGTTACAGATTCAATCATCTGCAAATATTTTGTGCTGGATAAAAATTCCTTCATGTTTCCCCAGCAAGTATGTTTAAAGGGAATACAAATTACTATTTTTCCTGTTCCTAGTACAAATAATTTTCAATTATGTACAGAAACTAGATATTTAATCAAACTGGATATTTATTGAATACGAAGGCTCACCTTACTGTCTTGTACAAAGTTTGTCCTACCTCTACAAAGCATTGGGAACTTTGCACCACCATACAATAAACAAATTTGAAGCTTTTTTCCTACTTCAGTGATGTGGAGTTGTGCCACATGTGAAATAATAACTGACTCCATTAATTTATATTTTTGGTATATAAGTTTCGAAATCCTTTGCCTTTTAAGAATTCCATTATTGAAAGACAAAATCCATATTAGACCTGTGCAGTCAGAAATAAATTTCCTTTTATTTCCCAGATGCCATGTAATTACCTGAAATAAGACTCTATCAATCAGATCAGGAGATATGATTTCAATAGAAGGACTTTTGAAGTTTAACACTAACTTCAACATCTGAAGATTTGATTTTCTCTCCCGCATAAATTTTAAACGATTTTTAATAGAATATTTCTACTTTACAACAGTTTTTGCAATGTCTTTGGACAACCTCATTTAAAAATTATTTTTACTAAAATGAAAAGTTCAGACAGCTATATCGATTTATCCAAAAAGGCTGTTTGTCCTTTTAACTTCCAGGTGCCAACCCCTGCAGATAATCTTCATATTGAATTGAAATATGAAGGTAGAGTGATAGAGAAGAAGCCAATGATCTCCTGGACATCCTTGTACTTTCATTTTTCAGTTTGATGAGTAAAACTTTAATTTCTCACATTTTTTAACTGAATTGAAATGTCAGAAAAGAGAGGACCACTGAAAGTCACCCACCTGCCTTCTGGTTTTCAAGAGAGGATGTTGTGCAGCAAGCGACCGTGAAAGCTATCATAGACGTCTCAGCCACAGCATTCCCCTACTGTTCGTACAGCGTAGTTTTCCCATACATCAGTAAGACTTTACAAAACTGTGAGTGCTGGTCATCGCAAACGCTGGCCACTCACTCAGGTGTTTGTGAAGGCTTGTTCCTAATTCACTTGTATGTACCTTGTATATCAGCAATCAATAAATGAAGCTTGAGGACAAAGCTTGCATTCAAGTACACGTACAATAAACACATATAGAAATAACTCATCACTCCTGACCCTACTCTAAAATCTTTGCACTGACGCTTCTTAAACCACCATTTCTAAAGCAGGACTGACAGCACAACTGCGTATGTGCATGATATTTAAGCAGTACAGGCAGGGTACTCCACCTATCCCAGTGGAAGAAAGAAAGAAATAAAAATCAAAGGAGATCTTTTACTGCCATAGAATAATTTCTTTGGCATCTATTAGGAGACTTAATGTGATACAGTCTTGTTCTATTGTACTATTTGCTGAAACACTTCCCGCACCGTGACAGCTCACCTTAAGAAAACTCTTCACTCCCTTCCCACAATTCTGTTTCCAGGGATAAAGCTTCCCAGAGTTTTCTTTCAGTACAAATTTACATGTTTTCCCAGTGCAGAAGAGTACCAAGTCATTCAGGAGCACAACCGTCATTGGTTTTCCATTAACATTACCATGAAAAAGAGCTACAGACCTAACAGTCGCTATTGTTGACTGTAAATTAGCATGCAGAAGGGACATGCACGTAAACCTCCCTGGTCTCTGCTTACCAACACCTAGTATGAGTTTTGGGTGCATGGACATCTTTATGGACGACAGCATATTCTTGTTACAAGGGGCTCACAGTGCAAGGGAAGAGGGAACCAAGAAGATGAAACAAGTCTTTCCCTGCTATTGCCTTTCATATACCAGCAAAGCTTAATAACTCCTAATGGCAGAGGGGGCCACCTGGTGCCATTTAACACACATTGGTGATCAGGGTAAAATCTGTCCTATCACACCTCTTTCCTATAGCAAAATTCATCAATGGGAGTTAACATGCTGGTTGTGCTGACACTAGAAACACTGTTGTTGTAGCATGCTGAGCAACACTTCAACATACTGAGCTCTACTCACAAAACAAATGGCAAGCAAAGACGACACTCGGCAGTCCTGGGGTTGCTTTGTCATCTTAAGAGACAGACTTCAAATGAACACAGAGGCTGTATTATTCTTTAGACTTGACCCTTCCAACACACTGGTAGAAATGTACAATGCGGCACAAAATGCCACTACCTGTAGATCACCCATGTTGTGGCTACAGCTCCCAGTATATTTCAGCTGACACTTTTGATGTATACTAAAAATCACTTAAAAAAACAATCTGCTTTTAAAATTTTCAGATTCCATGTGCAGGAAGGAAAAGTTATTTTCCAGAGTAAACTGAACTAGCAAAAATCAATCTTATTGGGAGTTTTCTGAAAGAGCTGAATTACTGTAGAAGTGACAGTGAAAGAAATTACTTTTAGTCCTCCCACTTTCATCTAATGCAGTTCTCTGCCATCAATCCTAGACCAGTTTAATGCTGGCCTACTTCAGATGACAGGCTTAGACTGCAACTTATCTTACAAATTTTTGTTTATTCCCATGTCTTTCCAAGTGCTTCAAGCCAAATCATAGAAGAATAACGCATTGTTTTGACAATGTAAGCAATATAATGTGTAATTATGACAGACCTTAATATCAGGAAAGACCCACCTTAGGAGATAAAATGTGAACCTATACAATTCCCACACAGATTTCTAATACCTTTTAAGTTATTCCCCCTTGTTAGCAGTAAGTTTAAACATTTCTTCATGTCAAAAATTGCAAGAGAGGATTACAGGCAAGGAGAAGGAATGAAACCATGAGAAAAATGCGTAAAACAGGGAAATTGAGGATTACAGCCTCATGAGATCTTGGTATTCCATAGTCCTGGACTAAATTCAAATAATTCAAAATGCATAGTCTGTTTCTCCAAACTTCTTGTCCTCAGGGATTTGTCAATTTTTTGCCTGAAGAAAAACTGTATTCATCTGAGTAGTCCAGAACTATGGAAGTGTTTCAGATAGAAATGTAAAAAAAAAAAATATTTTTTTTTTGTACACAAAAAGAAAAGGTGAAACATTTCTTGGACAAGTTTTAACTGCAGTTGGCAGTTCTGAGATCAAGCCTGGTGGCAGCCATCTTGCTGAGAAGTGATGCAATTTTTCTTACTAGTCATCCATCCAAGCAGTAAATGTGCAAGATAAGGTCTCTCTCTCATTTAATATCAATTTAACAACTTCACTGGAAATGCACAGTATTTATAAATAAGATTCATTTGCCTAAGAGCTCAAAATTAATTTTTTTTACTATCACTAAAGCAAATAGCTTAGCAGCATAGAGCGCATGATGTTGAGAAAACTAAGAACTGATTACTGAGAACAATAATGTCTTCTGAAGATTCATTATTAAAATGCACTTTATAAACAACTACAAACACAGAGAAAAGCCACAAACCACTATTATTCTATGTCCTGAATTTGATAACTCTACGAAATAGTGTTTCTGGGGGGAGTTGAGAGCTGGACTGGGAGTCTGCTGCAGCTACTCCTTATATGAAGAGGCTTGGATGAGAAGGCTTTGCTCTTCTCCTACAGGAAGGGTGCTACAAGAACCATGGTTTGCATTTTCTATTTGTGATAACCACAGCTGCCAGGAAATCCCAAAACCTAGGTTTTTATAACAGACAAAACTCAATTTGTCACCAATTCTTACCATCAGGGCTACTCCACCATTCTCAGTTTAAGAATGTATCTCAGTTGCAAATAACTTTGTCACATTTCAATCATTTAATCTGCAATAGTCTCTGCTAGACATCTGCAGTGAGCTGAACTTCTGTGTAAGGAGTTTTAGGCAGATTTTTCCAGATAATTGAGAATCACAAAGAAGACGTTAATTGTGACTGCTTTGTTGAGGAACTCTAATAC